GGCGGACACAACATCTTTGTTTGTAGGTAGTGCTGAGGATTGAACCCCGGCAGCACACATGCCAGGCGAGCGTGCTACCGTTTGAGCCACACCCCCAGCCAATGATGCTGGGGATTGAACCCAGGGCCTTGTGCATGAAAGGCAAAAACTCTACCAACCAAACCATATCCCCAGCCCAAGCCCTATAGGGTTTTAAGGACATGGGATTATAGGATGTCAGTATCTCCCTGAAGAAATTGTCCCAGGTCCTAAGGCAAAGCTGGTCATTCCAGTCTCTGGATTTTATTCCCAGGAATGTAGATCCCATTAAATCTCCAGTCCTGGAGGTACACACTTTGCGCCTCTAGTTGAGCCAGCCCCAGTGTGGGAGGCAGGGGAGCCATGGGGGTGTGGCCACAGTTGCTGCCCAGCTCCAGCCAAGGGTTGGCCATTGTAGACTGGGCCAAGAGCTGCCAGAAATGACTATTTTTCAAGAGAAGTTGTGAAATCAATCTCCTGATTTAACACTCTTAGCAATCAGTTCATTTGGTGAACGCTGTGAAAGCAAATAAAATATGCCAGCAGACCACATTCAGCCCAGGCTGTGGGATTGCTCCCTGTTCTACACCCTTTCTGCACTTGATTTAGCAAAATATTTACCAAGATCCTACTGTACCTGTCACTCCTCCAGCACCTGACCATGCTTGTTCTGCAACCTCAGGTCTGCTGGCATAATGCTCCTGTCAGTCGGTCAATCAATCTGGTGAGTAAAACAGTGTTTCATTGTGGTGGTTTGTTTTGTTTTGTTTTGTTTTAGTTGTAGGTGGACATCATACCTTTATTTTGTTTTTATGTGGTGCTGAGGATCGAACCCAGTGCCTCACACATGCCAGGTAAGGGTTCTACCACTGAGCCAGCCCTAGCCCCTCACTGTGGTTTTAATGTGCCTTTCCTTGACTGCTGCTGAGATTGAATATCTTTTTATGTATCTATATAAACTTTTCTTCATCAATAATATTTTTTGTTTCAAGTCAATTTTGGGGTGCTGGGGATGGAACCTAGAGCCTCATGCATGCTAGACAACTGCTCTACCACTGAGCCACACCCCCAGCCCTCTTTCTGGTTTAGATCATCCTCTGAATATCAATAAATTTAAGGGTTTCCCTGATATATATATAATTTTTTTTAAGTACTGGGCATTGGATCCAGGTGTGCTTTACCACTGAGCTACTTCCCCAGCTCTGTTGTTTTCTTTGTTTTGTTTTTGCGACAGAGTTTCAGTAAGTTGCTTAGGGCTACATTAAGTTGCTGAGGCTACTGGGCATGCTGGTGTGAACGCTTGTAATCCCAGTGTTTTGGGAGGCTTAAGCAGGAGGATTGCCAAGTTTGAGGCCAGTCTCAGCAATTTAGTGAAGCCCTAAGCAACTTAGAGACCCTATCTCAAAATAAAAAATAAAAAGGACTGGGGCTGTATCTCAGTGGTAAAGCTCCCTTGTGTTAAATTTGCAATTATCCGCCCCCCACAAAAAAATTGCTGAGGCTGGCTTCAAACTTATAATCCTCCTGCCTCAGTCCCCTGACTTACTGGTTTTATAGGTGGGTGCCACTGCACTGGGCCAG